GGAGGGGGGGGGGCGCGAAAACCTTTGAATATCTATTATGCCAGTGATCGCCGTGTGGTGAAATCGGGACCAAAATGTACCATCGTTTTTGTGATGCGGGTAGTTCGATCTGGTTTACTTGGAACTAACGTTTCACGGTTTCAATCTTCACTGTAAACATCGGACAAACTCTATTTGAAAATCTCAAACTACTGGCAAGTATTTTGAAAACACAATTTTGTTTATTACATCCCACAGTCGGAAGACCTTCTGGTCATTCATGGAAACCGACAACCTAAGCCCAGGAAATTCTAGTGACGAAACACATAAAGCTCCTGGTAGGTTAGGTTTCTTACTGAGCCAGATGGCAACGAAGCCGTCTGTCCGGCTAGCCAAGGCTTGACCCGCAAGACAGCGGGGCGGTGTGTACAAAATCCAATTCATTGCTTTTACGTATGCCCTTTGCACGGGGTCAAACGTCCAAGGTGCCCAATAGGTCTTGATATCCAATCGAGTCGGTGGCCGATAACCACGAACAGGAAGATGTGTATGTGGTTCAGACGACTCTTCTTGGTTGATTTGGAATCCGAGCTGTTAGCCAACTCCCCTAGATGAACTGCCAGTGGTTAATCGATCAGGTTATAGCCTCGGATATTAGTCCTGTCACTTTGGTGGGAAAACACCTTCGCCCCACGGGAGAGTAGTGAGTAGGGCTGTTTGAGACGCTTGGCCGTATGGGAGCACCTTGCCGGTCATCAGTATTCCAAAAAAAAATAGTAGGTATTAGTAAGCGCTTTACTCGCCACTTCTGCCGTGTATCTTAACTTCTAAACCCAAACAAAACATAGAATATCTACTAGACGGTGTTTGAAAAATGAACCCGCTGGTTAGAGGGTTTGCTATAAAAGGTAACGGAATCCATGACTTGGAGGGATGGTGTATCTCAAAGGGTATAAGTAAACGCATTCACTCCCTTATTCCCCAACCCCTCCGGCCTTCAGATTGCATCAGGTGACTCAGTCAACGATAACCGTTCGGTTAACTATACTTGTACTTATATACGAGAAACCGAATGCAAAAGTACGTATTGCCGTGACCTTAGTAGTCGTCACGAGTGACTGTACTTAGTGAATCAATCGCTGTATTTACGTGGACCCGAAATGAGTTATGAATAGCTAATCAACTGTGAACAAAAAAACGTGAGCTTATGCAATTTCTCTTACGAAATGATCTATCCCCGGGGGTAGTAACATGTGAAGTGGATTCACGAAACTAATCGATAATTTGTCCCCCGGACTAAACAACGAATTCGCAACATTGGATTCGTTAAAACAGAGACACACACAGAGAGAGAAGATTTCTTTCAATCTCCTCTATTGTTACAACGTGAAACAATCTGATATTTATAAACGGACGAAAGGGTTTGTTTCGAGAGTCACCGATCGCGTAATCGCACGAAGCTATGATGATTTGATCTTTGGCGTATGAGGACAATCCTGTGCTCTACTCGTGGTCACATGAACACATTGTATTTGTAGTTGAAACTTTAATGAGTTACAAACAAGCTTTTAGCCAAAAAGAGATCATCGTCCTAGCACTGGCAGAAGAGCAGGTAAGGGAATGGGATATGAAGCATGCCAAATGGATAATTTGTGTGGACTAAGTGTAATAGTCAAAGTAGATACGAATTGCGAAGCACGAATCATGGGCACAAATGTAACACTGAATCACGCTAGCACTTGTATGCTGGAATCTCCTGTTAACGAAACGTCGGAAAAAGGTCACAAGTTTAGCGGTCGTTTATTGAAAGAAATCGACGGGATTCAATAATATGCAAATAAAAATATTGTTGATCAAATGAGTATCAACCAACCACCGTTCTCGTTCTTCGAATCCCACGGCTTCTGTTTGAACTCAGTGGTTGTTGATCGATCGATACTGCTATTCCGTGGCCCGACGTCCGGAAACTGGAGCGCGTAGGAGCTTGGCTTGCGTCATCTGGAAGGGTTAACTCACTTACGCTGCAAGGACTTCGGGCGGATACACGACACTCAGCCACATCATTCAGTGTTATTAACCACTGATCATGCTGGTCCGGAGGTCCCTATCGAGAAAGCTTTACGCGGCCTGTGTGAGCAAGGCTCCTGGACAGAGCATTCGTGCCACCCTTAACGTTTTTTCACCCAACACCTACATCGGCAAGCATCGTGTACCGAAGCAATCCACTTGGCGACATGCGCAGAATATTCCCCAACCAACGCAGTCTATCGGGTTTGACCATTTGTTCCAATGGACTACCGCGAATATCCAAAACTGCGCTTCTAACCTCAACATTGCTCGTCCGGTTGCCCCCACCAGATTGGTGCAATGCGGCGTGGACGGTGGTGTTCGAACATCGATAGTCCATCTTTGTCCTGTTTTCGCAATTGCCAAGTTTCTGCATTGTATATTGTGTTGCATTGTATTGTATTGAAGCTTTAACCAGTTATATACAAGCTTTCAGCCAAAAATAGACCACTGTTACAGTTCTGGTGAAAAACTGGAACCTCAAACTTGTGAAAATATGAATGAACTACAAAGCGCATCGGAAAATTCAGCACGAATACTTTCTTTTTCGGTCAGTATCCGAGCAAGATAACGCACCAAAGAGTTTCTGTATGCGGATATGCGAGACAGGATAAGATTGTACTCAGAACGATTGGAGGGGTGGAATTTGCATGTATGCACACAAGTCAGTGTGTAGAGGATGGGTGCAATCAGATAGCATATTGTCAGCAAACTTCAAGCACACGCATCAATATGACCGTCACATATATTGTCTATCAGAACAGATAATGGAACTTGGAAAACACGGCTGATCATTGAGAGGCCACGCCTCAGCAACTTGAAATCAGCCTTCAACAAACCACGGTAACTTGTATTGTATTGTATTGAAGTTTTAGCGAGTTATAAATAAACCAGTTTTCAACCAAAAGGCGATCAACGTCAAGGTACTTTCCAAAAAGGGGGATGGTAGATGGTCGAACATCAAACATGCAAAACTGCGAATTCAACTATTAAAAATGCATTAGAAAGCTCAGAACGACCACTCTCAGCAAAATTCTAGCACGCATCAATATGAGCATCACAAGCGTTGCCTATCAGAACAGATAAAGGTATTTGGGAAATATGTTTGATCAGTGAGAGGCCACGCCTCAGCAGCTGAAAATCAGCCTTCAACAAACCAGGGAAAATTACTGGGGAGTAGTAGAGCGATTTGGAAAAAACACATTGTTGAACAAAAGCCCCATTGATCAAGAAATCTGAACAGAAATGACGCAGTCTTCTTATCGGAAAGAAGAGAACCTTCAGTTTGCGAGCAACAGTTTGGGTATGTAAAGACCCGCGAAGGTTGCTTTGAAGAGTGACTCCTAAGTTTTTTACATGATCGACCCTGCTCATCGGCTTTCCCTGAATCTGTGCACTATCGGAGGGAGATGTGAAACGGTTTAAAGTAAAAAGACATTCACAACATTTTGAGGGGATTAAGACCGGATAAACTGGTATACGAAACGAGGTGGGATAATTTTGTTATATCCAACCAGTTATGATTGGTTAGATACGGAAACAGAAAAAGGGTGATATCATCAGCATACTTGAAATGTCGAACAGCGGGGAGTGATGGGTAAGTCACTGATATAAGTCGCATAAAGATAGGATAATAGGACAGCACCTTGAAATACACTCGCACTATTGAGTGATGCGGTTGACTGTCTTCTTTTCAATTTAACAGGCTGATATTTTTGCGAAAAGTGATCAGTAAGCCATTCAAGAAGAGAAGTGGGACAATCAAACGATTGGAGTTTGTTGTAGAAAAATAATCAAGAAACATGTAACCCAAAATACGTGTTGGGGGTGGGGCTAGGTTGCACATTGCAACTACTATGTAATCCATTATATCATGACAGGCTGAGGTTAAATCATGAGGGCTATTCTATAGAACAATTTGAATGATGCGACGATCGCTCAATCGATTGGAACAAATAGATGATCAAAGAATGATAAGTAATCCCCCGGAAATATGAACAGTCAGCATATTGATTGAACAACTAGTTTTTCAACACCCACCCACGCACAGAACGAAATTCATTAGACAGCAGTGTTTCATTGGCCCAGTCTTGAGTACTTTTATCGATCCATTTGAGATGCTCGGAAAAGAGTAATCGAAAGCAATCAATCGAATCAAATGTATGGTTGTTAAACTTCGGTTAGGACTATAGTGATGCGCAAACAAAGCATGTGCCAGGAAATGTGATCGAAAGCTGCATGAGGATCGAGGCTTAGCCAGCAAACCGTGTATGTCGATGAACGAGAGAAACAAACGATGATCTGTCAAACAAAAGGCAACAAAAGTCGCGTCAACAGTTGATTGGCTAACTGCTCCAGTCGGAACATATTGACTCGGATTTCTTCACAATCTGGTCTACGGTTCAAATACTCGAGCGTATGACATTCGCGGGTTTTCAGTAGAACGTTCGTTGTTCTTCATATCTGACGGAATGGCTTATTGTATTGCATTGTATTATATTGTATTTTTAATGACTTGTGCAGGCAACTGCATCTACATTTCAGTCAAATGAAAATGTGTCCACTGTTACAATGGTAAAACTTAATCAGAAGATCATCTTTGTAGATTTATAATTAGATTGTTTTGGATCTACATGTTGTCGGTCAGAATATGAGCCAGATAGGGAACCGTTGAGTTGCGATAAATGTTTATGCGAGAGGGTAAGCAGCGAAAACCGTGGACCCGGTTGTAGCGCACGTGGGAATGACAAGCAAACAAATCGGAATTGAGCGGATGACTGGGATCGTTGAGTATCTTGTGGTCAAAATTCTCATATGAAGTAAAATGAAAATCGCCCAATTTNTAATAATAATAATAATCACCAAACCGGGACGTAGATAGAGTGATGAAATCCTTTCTAAGTGGTCCAGGGAGAATTACGAGCAAACAATAGCGTATGACGGGGAAAATGCATTGATAAACAAAAGAACCCTGTAGTATCTTCCGTATCTGTAAGGATAACCGACGCAGTCTACCAACATAGACTAGCACATAAGATGACCACTGTAGANGTTCTGGTGACCGGTACGGAATTGATAACTGAGCGTTCCAAGGGATATTTGGATCGGGAAAGACTGAAATCGCATTCGAAGCGCTTAGAAGTATTCAATCAGAGACCGGGTTGGTTCGAGAATGATTGCACTTGTAATAAACTGTCAGAAGATGATTCCATGTCCGATTGGTTTAACATGAGACCACATCATCAAAATGTTTTAAGGTATTAGCTGGTGGGATTGAGGATAAGTCACTGATAAAAGTTGAAAGAGAGCACAGCAACTTGAAGGACTCCAAAATTATTCACTAACGGTTTCGAAATAGTGTCGTTTGCTTTTGTTCTTTGAATCCTTCTTGTGAACGTTTTTCAACCACGATAGTAAATTGGTGGAGCAACCGAATAACTGTAACTTTCGGAAAAGAAAAGATTGTGAAACGGAATCGAAAGCGGAAGAATGATCAAGGAGCAGCACAACAAACGGATTTTTGAAACTCATCTGAAGATTTGCAAATAAAGTGCATCAGTGAAGAGAGACAGCATCCAAAATGTGTCTATTTGGTTTACACGTAAATTGCAAGGGGTCATTGGGAACGGTAACGATGTTTATCCCCAATCTCGCCCAAAAGGAGCACATGCACCGGTTCTGTGTGCACAGTTCTTTAATGACAATCGAATGGTCACCTCAATAAATAATCACCCCGGAGGATGTGCGTGTTCGAATCGCACCACCACCAGCACCACCGCAGTCTAACTTTCCTCATTCTGTGTGGTATGGCAACCCTTTGATTGGTCGCTTCCCTCTTCCTCAAAATGGTATCTTTGTTTATTCAATAAAAGAGAGGAAGCCGATCGATAAACAGATAATCTTTATAGTGGACTGTCAGTGGCTCGCGATAGTGATACAATGCTGTGTTTGGAAACTGATTGGATTTGAGTGAGAATATGTTAGGACGAAGCGCACAGAACTCGTCAGGCCACGCATCGACCCGCATCAAACGACAATTACCTTCGTGACGCCCAAATTAGAATCGATTCCGGATTGGATGACTAGGGCGAATCAGACAGCTGTCGTCCGATCAATCAATCGGAGTGTCAAGGACGCGATCTGATTGGTGAATCAACACACCGTTTCTCTTAAGCCCAATTCACCACATATATTTGCGTACTACATCATGATCAATAATAAACTGCCGTTTTCTCAGCCGTGTTCTCTCTCCGAATCACTTTTAGGGCTAATCAAGAGGCGCTCGTATTGATCATACATCTTTGCTGACATAACAGTAGAGTATCTTAAAAATGGGTTAAGGAGAAAAGAATGAGCACAAAAGCTGATCACGTGAGCATGTGTGAAAAGATCACCTCTGTCCTTATGACCTCGGGAACTCGGTTACCAGTGGTACAGATGGTGTCCTGATGGGTTTGATTGTCCATTGAGGTGATCGATAGATGATTCATAGGTGAGACAAAATCGGGGATTGCGTACAAAGCAAAGCATAAACACCAAACTAATGTGCAATAGTGTGCATACATGTATGTATAAGGTCTCATTCTGCGGGACCAAATGCAGCAAATTTCACGACAGAGAAAAGAGTAAAATTACCGTGAATTGGTTTCATCGTTACGGCCTTGAAAATGATGAACCGGGAAAGAACGAGGATGATGAGGAGGACATAGGTTGAAAACCAACATAGTGTCAACAATCTGCGGATGAAAACTCTATAGTTAGTACAGATGAACAAACAGAACATGCTCACTCTGTTTAACAGGACAGACTAATCAGGTGTACAGCGACCTAAACAAATACCGAGTAAGTAATTCAGTCATGAAAATGTGCTCTCTCTCTATTTTTTTTTTGTTTCTACCATTTTAACTATGTTTTTAGAGTATTATGTTTGGATTGACTCCTTGGGAGATCGTGAATTCCCCACGAGTTAAATGCATTCAAATGCGACAAAAATGTTTGTGATAAGCGACAAAGAACACTGGGCAACAGTGAGACCTATGTCCAAGACTAACAAGAATTCCTGCTGCCCCTGAACAGTCGCGAATGGGGCTAATCCAAGCTTGATACTCTAAAACGGATTGATCCAATTGCACAAAGTGATCACCGTCGACTATGTTTTTGTACTCAGGGGTAAGGGTTTGAAATCCCAACCCGAATGTTCACGCTTCGAGTCCGGAAAACAGGGCCACAAAAATCAGTACGCGCACTGCTGACGAGTCACTCAAAAACAGGAAGAAATAGATGTCCAATGAGTGTTCTTTGCGTCGGTCATCACAAATATTTTCATCGCATTTAGATCTT